TATCCCCAAATAAAATACTAGTCATGTGGGCACGCGCTCCTCGAGCTCATGACTGTTCTGGCTGGTATATGGGTGGTTGTCAAAATTATGGTCTTTTTTTGGGTGCCCTAAATATTAGGTGCCGTACTATAACAGGGACTCAAAAAGGGACCATAATTTTGAAAACCACCCATATACTATCTAGGGGCTTTAGGATGGACCCTTAATGGGGACCCTTGTAGCTTATTGGGGGTAATTTGGGTACTACCTGGTTCTATAGGAGCTATATAAGGGCTGTATAAAGGATTTAGAGTGTAGGTACTGGACTTGAACCCTGAACCCTAAACCTAAACCCTTTATAACCTGTAGGGTGTGGAGTGTGTATCTTTAGAATTTGGGGCTTTAGGGTTTAGGGTAAAAATCTTTCCTTGCCCCAAGCTCGAATAAATGGCCCTAAATCTGAAAACCAGACCCTACCTAGAAAGCCAGTAACCTAGAATTAGTCTACCTTCCACAAGTTTCATGCCACTTGGCCTTAAATTGGTCCAGTAGGCCCTCGTTTTGGATTTCCCGGCTTTCCACGTACGGAATTCCAGAAGCCGCCATAGAAACCTTCAACAGCTAAAGCAACATGTCAGCCTCACCCTCAGAAATCGCTTGAATACAATTTCAATTCTTGCCTTTCCAACACCAAGCCTGAATCCAAGCCAGGAACCTTAATACCAGTCCTAAGAAGGTCAATGAAACCAGCCACGACTTGCCGGCCACCCTTTGAAGGGCGAGTGTGTTTGTGTAGAGTGTAGTTAAACCCTAAACCCTTGCTATGTGTAGAGTGTAGTGCGGAGCGTTTGGGCTTTTTCTTGATTTGTGTCTACCTTTTGGTCAGAAGAGGGCTTTGGTAACCCCATGCCAAGGACCCTCTTTCAGGGTTTAGGCTTTAGGGTTTAGGGCTTAGGGTTTAGGGTTGACAGTCCTGGTCATAGAGTAATCAGTTCGGGGGTTGGGGTAACCAACATACATACCCTTCTTATTGGGTGCCCGTCGGCTTGAAAAAGCTCTAAAGGCATGTCGAATGCGAAAAGTGCGGAGGTTTTGGCAGGCAGTGAGGGCCTAGAAAAGCACTGACGGTGTTCCAGGTCACGAGAAATCATGGAGGGCTATTGGGTCGTGGCGCGTTCGCACTACCCTTGAACCAGCAAACAGAAATACGCTGCATGGATGGAGGAAATCTTGCAACACTTAAGAACCCAATATACTCTAACTCCCAGGGGAAAATTTGGACATCTCAGTTACTTTTAGTTTGTGCAAGATTTCCTCCAGCCAAATACCTCAAGAGCCCCTAAACCCTTAACCCTATGAACAACGCAAGGGCCAAAAAGGAAAATGGTAGCGTTCAGATGAAGTTCCGATCAGCCGCATAGACCCCAAAATACTATAGTCCTTACTATATGGGGACCCCTCAGAAAAGGTACCCATGCTATTGTGAAACCCGAAAGCCTAATCCCTGAACCCTACATATCCCCGTAACATCCCTATATAACCCGCATCTTCCTGTAAGGTACCCCGAATTCATGACACTATGTAATACCTATATACAGATTAAATCCCCTGACCCTTCAAGTAACGCCTTTTGCAGCGCCACGCTGCCGAAGGCTGAGAATCTTACTTTACGGGACAATACATTGGGCAGTCTAGTATTGCGGGCTAGATAAAACCATGCTAGTCATATCAATTACAAGTGGGGGCAGTGCCAAAACAGTACATATTGAGAGTCCAGCCGAGAAGACTTTTACATCAAGAATCATTGATCATATAACCCCTAAACCATACGTCCTAAATCGTAAAGCCTAAACCCAATAACCTTATGAACCTGCAGCCCATGTCCGTATCCACCGCTTTATAACATCACCCCAAGCCCACACAGAATAATGAGGCTGCGTGTCGTTCGTGTCACACGTGACGTCGGACCAAGCCATTCGCTCGTATAACCTTAAACCCTATAAATCCCAAAACCCTCTAAACCATACACCCTAAACCCTCTAAACCCTAAACCCTCTAAACCCTAAACCCTCCAACCCTCTAAACCCTAAACCCTACAAAAACNNAAACCCTACAAACCCTATGACCCCTCCCAACCCCCACGTCCCTCTTTGCCGGGGCCCTGGCAAGCTGCTCGCGAGGCCCAGGACGCTGATGGCCAGAAGACTCCGCAGACGGAACCGGTGAAGAGCCATCCCTGTTTAAGTTTAGGGTTTAGGGTTT